ACATATATATATATATATGTTCTCATTCACGTACTTATGACCTCGTTGCGAACGATTGCGATTGCCGCGAGTCTTTTGTGACATTTTATCGCAGCTTTTGTAATTGCAAATCGACGCGAAAGCGTTTAGAACGGTCCGTAGAAATTAACATCGCTTTATATTGTTACGCTACAATCATGCGATAGGTGCGTCGTTGCATGTGCGCATGCGTGCGTGCGTGCGTGCGTGTATGCGACTATGCGTGCGTGCGTGCAGACTAACGTAGCTATGGCGCTGCGATCAAAACGCGTTAGATTTCGCAGACGTTTATTGGAAAGCCAAGAGGTTCAGTATTCTGAAATTGTACGCCTGCATATGCCTGCATATTTGTCTGCCTTCTTGCCTGCCTGCCTGCATGCCTGCCTGCCTNAAGAGCGCGGAGAAAGGAGGAGAGGGGAGGGAAGAGCGCGGAGAAGGGAGGAGGAGAGGGGCGGGAAGAGCACAAAGAAGGGAGACCGAGGAAGGAAGCACGGGGAGACGGGAGGAGGAGAGGGAAGAGGGAAGAGCGCGGAGAAAGGAGGAGGAGAGGGGAGGGAAGAGCACGGAGAAAAGAGGAGAGGGGAGGGAAGAGCACGGAGAAGGGAGGAGGGGAGAGGAGGGAAGAGCGCGGAGAGGGGAGGGAAGAGCGCGGAGAAAGAAGAAGGAGAGGGGAGGGAAGAGCACGGATAAGGGAGGAGGAGAGGGGAGGAAAGAGCACGGAGAAGGGAGAGCGAGGAAGGAAGCACGGGGAGACGGGAGGACGAGAGGGGAGGGGAGAGCGCGGAGAAGGGAGGAGAGGGGAGGAGAGAGGGGAGAGAAGGGAAGAGCGGGGAGAGAGAGAGCGGGGAACGTGGGGCAAGCGGGAGGCGGAGGAGCGGCGCAGAGAGAGAGAGACGAGAGCAGAGAGAGACGAGCACGAGACGAGAGAGACGAGACCTGTGTGTGGAGTGGGGAGTGAAAAGGGGAGGCGAGTAGTGTAGCGTTGCAGCAGGAATAAGAGCCAGTACTTACAAGTACCCTTTTCTTGTTCGATCGATCCCGCTACTCTCACATTCGCCCTGCTATATTTTCACGCGATGCTTCCGCGCTGTTATGTGAGTTGTTGTATGTAATGGCATCGCTACAACCGCTTCATAACGAATTTCATTGTATGATATCAAGAGACCATAATAGAAATGTTCTATTATGGACTCTTGATGAAATGTCAGACAGTGCGAATCGCTATCTGACGTGTTGTCGCCCCATCTGTACCCTCATCCTGACGCGCTATAGAAGCACGCACACGCGCACACGCACACGCACGCACACACACACGCACACACGCACGCACACACGCTCGCACGCACACACGCACGCACACACGCACGCACACCCGCAGTCCTCCTGTATCGCCTATTTCTCTTGCGCACTTTCTCTCCTGCGCTTGCGCGTGTGAGTGCGACCGTGCACGCGTGCGTATGTTTGTGTGCGCGTGTTTCTGCGTGCGTGCGTGCGCGTCTCTCACTCTCTCTCTCTCTCTCTTTCTCTCTCTGTCTCTCTTTATCTCTGTGTGTGTGGTAAGGGGTGCGTGTGTGTGCGCGTGTATCAGTGGTGTAGATAATTTACCCCCTGATATCAAGAGCTAATAAACAACTTTATAAACACCAAAGGTGTTTATTTGCTCTTGCTGATATCAAGAGCTAATAATACCTTATTATTATTATAATACCTTATTATTAGCTCTTGCTG